TTCTTATTTCTTTTCTTTTTTATATGATTTATCATTTTTATTATTCTTTATATTTATTTATTGTTTATTTATCTTTTATTTTATTTTGAATATGAAATATTCATCATATTTCATTATTTATTTTATTAAATTGATTTAATAATACAAACACATATTATATTTGATTGATCAATACATAAAATAAAATATTAAATATTATTATAATTTAATTTGAAATATATGAAATTTGATTATTATAAATAATTAATTCATTAAAATTATATGAATACATATCAATAAACAGAATATAAAATACATAATATTGTATTAATAATGACCTATTAATAAAATATCATTTTATCATCACTTTCTTATAAAATATAAATTAATAAATCATTAATTTTCATAAATTATCATTTATTCTAAATAAAACAAACTCAAAATATCTCTGTTCTGATATGAAAAATACAATTATTGAAGTAAAGTATTGTTAAGATTATCAGAATTGATTTAATTCATACTTTGTGTTTATTTAACATGTGATTTTTATTTGTTTGTTTTTGTGATGTTATTTTTAACATCAAATTAAAATTACATATTACTTTTACATTATTGTTTGAATAATCTTATTTCAAATGGTAAAAATGAAATTATTGTTTATTTATAACATAACATTAAAATTGATACAAAACGATTAAAAAGTATTTAATCTTATATTTTTATTTCATTACTCCCTTTTTTTATTTAAACAAAATCTTATAATCATCAGTTTATTAATTAGTATGGGTGATTGGTACATCAGTGGTTCAAATATTCAAGGAGAACATGGATTAGTCGAGAAAAGAAACAATCTATAAGGAAGAGCATTTTGTCATAGAATTATTGATGAATGTATTAGAGAAGGAAGAACTTTACATGTCCATCAACAAGATTGGCAAATAAACACTTTCACTTATGAAAAACTTTAAGTAATTTCTAATTTACTTTTTCTCTTTTATATTTGTTATTTCTTATTTTCTTATCATTTCAATTCTTAAATATTTTAATTTTATTTTATTACTAAATTATAAATAAGAATAAATTATAAATTATTTATTTGTAATTATTTGATATGATAAATACATGATGACAACATTATGAAAATGTATAATTTAATCACTTCTTCATGATTTTAAAATATCATTTTTGTTTGTTTAATATAATTTACAAATTATTTCATTTTTAAATTTCATTAATAACAATTTAAATACAATAACAATCAATTTTTAAATTCTATTGTATTGATTTATAAATAAATATATCACATAACATGATAGTGGGTAATATAAATAAATAAAATATTCATTTCGGTTTATTTTAAAATAATAATACGTTATGTAATTTAATATATTATAAAATTAACTACAATATTCATTAGAAACATGAAATAAAATGAATTTGATAATCTCATTATTTCAGAATTAAATGATTACATTACAATCTAATTATGAAAGAACGAAAAGAAGAGCAGAAATGGCATATCTTAAAGAACATTATCCACAAAATATATTTCAATTTCATAAAATAGGTATAAAATTTCAAACCATCAAGAAGAACAAAACGAGATAGTTGTTGAACCTGATGTACACTTTCAACAAGATAGGAAAGAATACCTTGTTTTTTTCAATAATCATTTCAGTGAAATACATAATATTTTAAATCAATGATTAGAAAATGAACTATCAGAACATTCATTTATTATTTCTGATATCCTTAAAAGTAATTTCAACCAAATTGCAGAAAAGGAAGAACCACATGGACTTTTAAGAACTTTTACTATTTGTTTAATTCCATTTTATGAAGTGTATCATGGATGTAGTTGTTAGTGTAATATTTTAGCAACAAAATTATCTTCAAAATCATCAGAAGATGATAACAGAATATGTCAGTTGACATTTCATGTATATAAAACAAAAGAATTAATTGAAAAATATGGAAATGAAATAAAAACAGGTAATATATGTGGTATTTATATTGAAAATAATTTTAATGGGAATAGTGGTTATATTACAGATTGTGATACTAGTTTGTATCAAATCATAGAATTAAAAATTTATGAATTAATATCTTCATATAAAAGTTTATATTATAAATTCAAAACATTAATTGATATATTGTATGAAGCTGAGTGAGAGATTCAACCAACATTAAATGAATGGAAAAGATTACAATTTTGTTTTGTTATTAATAGAGTGAATTATTATTTTACAAGACAAGAAGAACTTTTAAGTGATAAATCATTTGAAGAACTTAAATTAATGACAATTCATAGGAAAGTGCTTAATCAATTTGCAATTAAATACAAACATTTATATTTAACAAATACAGAAACTATTCTTGGAATTACATTAACTTAACATAAAATATACTTCATTATTTATTGATTCAAATGTTAATGAATTTTATAAAAAGATTATAAAAAGATTAAATACAGAAGCACAGATTCTTATAAATAAATATCCATAGATTGAATTCACAATAGAAAGGATTAAAGAAATAGCAGAGAGTTTAAAACATGATAACAATCAAGATTTATTAGATAAAATGAAAATAGAAATAAATGAATTAAAAAATAAACTAAAAAACTTATGGGGAGAAGCAGTAACTGAAGTTGGTAAAGTTATAATACAGAAAGTAGAAGATGTATCAGATGTTGCTGTTTCATTTTTTGATATTTATTCATTAATACAACAATTTAAAATAAAAGATATATTAGATTATATGTTAACACAAAATAAAATAACAAACAACTCACAACAAGGAGGTAATGATAATCATCCAACAAATAATACAAATAAACAAAATAATTCATCTAAAATATCTTTATATAATAATAATACACCACTTGGAAGAACAATAAAAACTATAAACATTACTCAAGAATAATTAGATAAACTCCATTCATCATTTAATAATATTGTTGATGCACAAATCATAACAAATAAAATTGAATTGTATAAAAAACAAATGATTGGATTTGAAAAAGTTCAAGAAATATCAAATAATTTTATTAATTTACTTAAACTTAAAATAATATTGAAAAGAGAATGGCAATTTGATGAGATTGATATTAATGAATATTTATGAATTATTGTTACAGAAGATAACAAATATATTGTTAATTCAAGAACAAGTTCTGAATGTAAAGTTAATCATAAAATATATGAAATAGAAAAAGTATTAAATTATAATGAAGAATATGAAGAATAATAATCAAAATGATAATTTGAATTTATTTTAATGATTTTATGGTTTTATTTCAATAATTTCAAATAAATGATAATGAAAACATGAATAATTATAATTATTTTTTATACATTATATTAATGTATAATTTGAATATATAATTAACAAATAATTAATACTTATTATATTTATAATGACATCAATTAAATATTATAAAATATTCATTTTTATTTTAATTAAAATGAATATAACAAATAAAATAAGAGAGTGTTATATTTATCTTTTTTTATTTCATATTTTATTAAACCAAAATTATATTTTAAATTAAACCTTCTTCAATTAGAGAATTAATGTGATTATTCCAATTATTATCATGACTAGGTTTACTGTCATGTTTGGTGTTCCATTGTCTGTTGGTGGATTAACACATACATCTTCAATGCAATTGTTATTGATATAATCAAATTTATATCCTTCATCACAATATGATAGTACACATTTTGTACTCCATTCTCCATTATCTCCACATTCATATCCTCCATGTCCATGTTCTATATTAATTTCTTTATCACATTTTTCATCTCTTTTAACTAATCTTTTATTCTTTGGATTACATTTTGTTTGATATTTCTCTATTATCTTCTTTGTTTCTTCTTCAAATTCTTTTATTGTTTCATCTGAATAATCAAATTGATAAATATTCACTCTTTCATCTATCATATCTGTTAAAAATTCTCTAGGAATACTTTCATTATATTCATAATTATATCTATATGTTTCTATAATGCTTATTCCAACTTTATATCCATATTGTTTAATTATATTATTTTTATCTATATCATTTAAATCAATAACAACAGTTGGTGATAATCCTACTTCAAATTCTTCATCTTTACCATTAGGATCACCATCAAATCCAACAAGAATAGCTCCTCCCCATTCTTTTAATCCTTTTGTTACTTCTGAACAAGCAGAATAACAAAATGAATCTGTATAAACTACTATTTCTGTTGGTTTTCTTGGGTTTTTCATTATTTTCTTTGCTTCCCAATTTTCAGTTGATGGTTGTGAAACTTTATGTTCAACATCACCATATTTAATAATATTTGGATTTGTATACCATTCTCCAAGTGTTTGTGGATTAATTCCTTTTTCTCTTCTTTCACATGTTTCTGGATCATATATATAAGTTCCATATCCTCTTCTCATTATATCTTCTGTAAGATCTGATATTCTTCCTGACTCTATATCATTAACATCATCATATGGTGCAAGTATTTTCTGAACCCATTGTGAATAATCATAATCACCTCCTCCATTCTTTGGGAATATGAGTTGAATAGGATATTTATTAGAATCAAATAAATCAATACATTTTAAAATAGTATCTTCATATGATTTAACATATGCATCTTTAGGGTCAAACGACGTAATGACAAATGTATTAATTTTATTATCTGATAATGAACAATATACTTTATTATCATCTGATTTATGTGGTTTATTTCTTCCTTGTTTTGTTTTCATTCTTTTCACAAGTTCTTTTCTTGATTTTATTTCTTCTGGTGTTAGTTTTGGTTGAATTCCTTGTTTAACTTCTTCTCCTTGAAGTAACTCTTTAAGTGATTTATTAGGTGTTGATAGCTTGAATATAGAATAGTTAATTGTGACACTTTCTTCATTTTCCCATGTAATAGTTATTGGTGTGTTTAAATATTCTTTTGTTAATGGTGTGTCACTCAATGACCCAATTGAAATTACTGATCTTGCTTCTGTAAATTGTGCATGTGGACATTTTAATCTCATATATTTCTTTCCAAATTCACGAATAATATTAAATGGATCTTCTCCATTTATTGTTTTAACTGCTATGTTCTGATTATCATCTATTTCTTCTGGAACATCAATAGGAATACCACCAAGACTTTTTCTAGGAATTAAATACATTTTCTTATCATTATCAATATTTATTGTAAATGGAAGGAAATAAAAGAAATTAGTTAATTCTGATTTTGGTTTATTAAGTTTGTCATCTACATTAAAACCTAAATGTCCATCTCTTGTTGAAATAATGAGATTTTTAATTTGAGAATAGAATTCATACATACTTGTTGTTTTTGTATTTATTTTATTTAATTCTGCATCAATATCCACTTTTTCATAATAATTATTTGAAAATGATGGTTGTGGTGGATTCTTTAATATATCTTTAAATACATATGCTTCTAAATAATATTTTAATCCTGTGATAATATCATTATTTTCTTTTTCTGTTGTTTCAATTGATTCAATACATTCAAATGCACTATCTACTGTATCTATTTCATTTGTAGTATATTCACTACACTGTTTTGATAATGAGAATGTAATAAACAGAAGTATAAAGTAGATCATTTTAATGAATATATCTTTCTTAGTTTGTGTTTAAATACTCATCTATCATTTATTTACCCTATTTCTTGATTTAGTATCATTAAATTATTACCCTCAATTAATTCCTCTTTCTTTTATTTTATTTTCTTCTTATTTTTCTTATCATTTTTATTTTCATTTTCATTAACATTACATTTGGTATATTTTCATGTTTTTATTCTTAATTTAAATTAATCATCATTCATATTTCAAATATAATTTATTTGTTATCAATTTATTGTTATTTATGTATTAGTTTGTTATTGATTGTTGTTTTATATTTAATTATATAATAAATTTATTTATTCATTTTTACTTTTTATTTATTTTATTATTTGATTTTATATTTATATTCATTTTTAATTTTAAATTATTAATTATTTTATGTTATTCATTTATTATTATTTCTTATTTATATTTATTTATATTATTTATTATTTCATTGATTTCTATTTATCATATAATTTGTTGTTGATTATTGTTTTATGATTTTATTAATGTTAAAATTGATGATTTTTTATTCTTTTTCTTATTATTTTATTCTTTTTTTCTTTTGAATATTGATTAAAATATTTCAAATATTTATTATTCTTGTTTGTATATCATTTGATATTAATGATATACATCAACTAAATCATCTCATTTATATTTTAATTAGTATTATTAGTATTTTACTATTTGTTATTATGATATTAATATTTGTTAATATTGTACATCCAATGAAATATCTCTTATTTTATTAATTGATAATGGTATATTAATTGATTATATTAAACAACGTCTATTAAATTATTATATTCATTTTATTGTAATTGATGATTAAATATTATCATTATTATCTCTTTTTCTTCTTTCTATTATTTACATTGTTATTTCCTGATATTTTAACATTTGATATTATTTGTTTATTCATATTTATTTTATTTTTATTATCAATTTTGATATATTTGATATTCATACATGTTAATGAAATATCAATTAAATTATTCATTTTCTATTCATTTGATTGATATGATATATTATTTGATTTCAATATTGAATATTCATTATTTTATTCTTTTCATACTTCATTATTTAATAATTTATTTATAATGATGAATATCTTTAAAACAATATTCATTAATTCAATCATTTCATTCTGTTATTTTATATTCATCTATTCTTTGTATTCATTTTTATATATTTTCATTTTTCTTATTTTATTCTTATTTTCTTTAATTTATTTTAATTTATCATTTTAATCATTATATAAAATGATAATAATGTTAATATAATGTTATTTATGTTTATTGTTATTTATTCATTATGTTTTTCTTATTATCAATATTATTTATCATTTTATCAATATAAATATTATTTTATTTTATTTATATAATTTCATTTCATGATTTATTTTTATTGAATTAAATTCTATTATATTTCTTCTTTTTCTTATTTATTTTTATTATCTATTATTCTTTTTTGTTTATTTTCAAAAAATAAAAATATTCAACTAAAATTTAATTTAATATCAACTTCATTTTATTATAATAAATAAAATCATTTGTTTTTATTATTATATTTATTGTATAATGAAATATGAATAATAAATTAGTTAAATTCTTCATTTATCATTTATTTTATTATTTAATTCTATTATCTCTTTTTTAAACTTATTTATATTCTTTTATATTCTTTATTTCTATTTTTATTTTATTATTTATGTTCATATTAATATCATTTATCATTTATTTACATTCTATATTATTTAATTTTGATTATAATAATAGAAATAAGAAATCAACAATTAATAATTACATATTGTTAACTATTATATTATTTAACAATTCATTGTTATTATTTCTTATTCTCTTTCTTCATATATTTAATTTCTTTTTATATTCATTTATATTTCTTTATTATCATTTCTTTATTTATTCTCTCTTCTTATTCATTTTTATTGAATATTAATTTAAAATTAATTACAAAATCATTTTATAACTTATTATTTCTTTTCTATATTATTTTCATTCTTCTTATTTATCATTAAATATATTTTCTTTTATATTCTTATGTTTTTCATTATCTATTATTACTATTTATTATCATTTTATTATCATTATTCATCATTATCATTTTATTCTATTGATTTATTTCAATAATAATATATCAAATGAGAATAATAATATAAAAAGAAATATTAAGAAATTATAAAATTCGATAATAAGAAATAATAATAAAATAATTAAATGAAATATATTCATTTATAAAATACTTATTTATTTTTTAATCAACATATTATGATATAAAATATAATATAAATATTAATTCTATTCATTTATTTATATATTAATAAATAAATCAATAATTTAATATAAGAATATATTAATATTAATATACATTTATGATATATATTAAAATCAATTTTCATTAAATTTATTAAAATATGTAATTAATATATGTTTATATATTTGATTAAATACATATTCATGTTTTAATATTTGATTATTATTCATTATTTTATTTATTTATTTTGATTTATATTTTATTATTTATATTATTTATTTTATTCATGTATTTGATATTTATATTTTAAATATATTCTTATTATTTAATTATTTCATTTCTTATTAATATTATTCATATTCATATTTCATTTAATTTAACTTATAATTTAATTTTATTGATATTTATATTATATAAATACAAATAGATTAATAAAATTGATATTTATTTATCTATAATATCAAATTCATTTAATTTATATTTAATAATACAAAATCATAAGTTAAAATATAGAATATAAGAATAATAAAGAATAATAAAATAATAATAAAGATATAAAAGATAATAAATAAATATGATAAAATAGAAGATATAAGAATTAATAAACATATACAATAAATAATAATAAATATTTTAACACAATAAAAAAGAATAATATCAAAAAGAATAAATAAGAAAAGAATAATAATAATATAAATGATAATCAATTATAATTTATTTCTACTTCAAATTATATTGTATTTCATTTATTGTATTTTTATTTCATTCATCATCATTTGTTAAAACAATTTCTTGGTATTCTTTCATTTTTCTTTAATTCTTCTTCACATCCACATCCACAAAAACATCTACGTCCAAATTTAGTAATTGATGAAGGTATATTAATTGATTTTAATGATAGACATTCTTTAAAACAACAATTTCCTAATTTGGTAATTGATGATGGTATATTAATTGATGTTAATGATGTACATCCAGAAAAACATCCATATCTTATAAAACTAACTGATGATGGTATGTTAATTGATTTTAATGATATACATTCAGAAAAACATCTATCTCCAAATGATTTAATTGATGTTGGTATATTAATTGATATTAATGATTTACATTCATCAAAACATTCATATCCAAGTGATTTAACTTCTGATGGTATTGTATTTCCATATGATTTTCTATCTTCTTTTGTATATTCTATATTTTTACAGATATTTCCTTGTTTTTTTTCGAATAAATATCTCCAATATTCTACTTTGTACCATATTATTTTTTTAAATATTTTTCCATCATCAAATATTTTATCATATTCATTATAAATATGAAATGTTTCAATATTAGTAAATAATTTTCTTGAATATTTATTTAATGGAATTGGATTAAAATGAAATCGTTCCATATTTCCTTGAAATCTTTTAATTCCTATTTCTAAATTAATAAAATCTTTAATATCATTAAAATACATTGATGTTATCATTATTTCATTATATCCTAATTTCATTCTTGATTTATTATTTATTAGTTGTTTTTATTAGTTCTTTTATTTTTATATTTTAATTTCTTCTTTTTTATTCTTTATCATCATTCTATTTTTATTAATTGATATTTGTTATGAAAAACAATAAATAATATGAAATAAAATAAAATGATAATTATTTTTATTTTTAATAAATTCATAATTATTAAATATTTCATTTTATTTTATATTTTATTCATCATTGATTCGAAGATATCACGTCAGAGACAACACACACAACACTAAAATATTTACATCCTTCGATTCCCCCAGTTATGGTCTAGTTATGACGTTGTGTTTGGTTAGAAAAACATCTTAATCAATATTGTAAGAATAACAATGATTATTAATTACAATGATGTGATATCACTGATAATAAACAAATGGGTATTTATAAAGATGTTATTATTACTTATTATGATACAAGTATATTTGATAATATAAGAAAGATTATCAAAGAAAAAGGGTTTAGTGGTTGATACTAAAAAGAATATTAATTCATATCAATACAGTAGTAATTATATACTCTCCTTAAAATAAGAAAATAAAGAATAATTTTAATATTCATCAAAATCAAATAGAAATTAAATAATGAATATTTAAATAATTGATGTTTAAAATACTCTATTCCATATCAAATAAAAGAGAAAATGAAATTGTCATAATTCAACAACTAAAATCAAAGAATAAACTAATAAATAATGAAAATACAATGTTAAAACAATTAATCTACATTGAATAATGAACAATATAATATAAAATTATTAACATTTAATTATCTACTTTTTATTTGTTTTGATTTGATTATTATTATTTAAATTATCAATATTAATGAAAAATCAAAGGAATGACAAACAATTGAAGAATTATATTTTTGATGAAAGAACAGTAGAAATGGTAATAGAACATTTCTATATACAATCAAAAACAATTATGGTAAATTATTCAAATTAGAAAATAATTTGCCATAATTGTTTTTTGATTATTTTTGTTCAAAAAATTTTATATAATATAAATAATTTTTTAATATTTCTTCATATTTACAAGAATTATTGAAAAATCTAATGAACATTCACTTCAGTTGTTCGAAGATAGAATAATTTGAAAAGAGAATACTTGATAGATTTTTATTAGTACAAAATATGATATGATGACAAATAATGGATTTAGATTTATGTTAGTTCAAAAAATATAATAAATTTTAACATATACATTCTGAATAAATTTTATATTGAAAACATATTTGATAATTTAAATAATTTGATTGATATTTTCATACTAAAAATATCTGTTTAAAAATTAGAACAAATTAATTTACATTAAAGTATTTTACTTCTATAACATATTGTACTTTTATTTATTCATATTATTTTACTTTTAAAAAAGATATTTGTTGTTATTAAAATTAGTTAGGATTAATTTTTTTATAACATTTGAATGATTTTATCATTTTTTCTATTGAAATATATTCTCTCATATTCTTTGATTGTCTTGTTATATCATCTTCTTTTCTTTAAGAAAGATTCTATTAAGAAAAGTGTTATATAACCATTATGTTTTAATTGTCCAATACATTCATCAATTTTTATAGAATAAATTATTTGATCATTTGTTAATTCTAATAATTTCATTATTTGTTTATTCATTCATCTCATAAACACTGGATATTTAACATTTCCATATTTAATATGTACTACACATTCTTTTCTTATTATATTAACTTTATTAACATATACTATCATACTAAATAATAACAATAGAATAAATTCATAAAGAATGTATGATGAAAATATCTATAAAATAATGACACTAATCAAAATATATAAAGAATTAAAATAAATGATATGAAGGAGAGAATATAATGAAAAGAATAAAAATAAGAAATAAATATCAAAAAATTAAAAATAATTTCTAAAAAACAAAAAAAGAAAAGAGAAAAAATAAAAAGAAAACAAAATAACAATTTCAAACATAAAAAAAATAAAATATTTGTTTGATTGAATCAACTGGTATTTTGTATGTTTTTATCATTTCTTGAGATTGACTAATGACATGTCACTCATGTAAATGTGTTACAATTTCATTTAAATTGTTTTGTAATGGATTTAAGTGGTATTTTATATTCATAGTTAGTGTATGTTTGTGAATCTAATGAATTTAATTGATTTAGAAGTGAGTATTCAATTTGATAATCATTAATACCACAAAAATAAACACTATTTTTACTGTCAATAACTTTAATTTCATTAAACAAAGTGTTACAAACAATAATACCATTTGTTCTAATGTCTTGAACAAATAAATAGGATGTGGTTGATCTGATTGTAGTTGGTATTTCTCATTGAATTTTTGATTTGAATTTTAATTAATCTTTACACTATCTTTATAACTCATTCCTCTCTTTGTTGTAATTACATTTTGTTTATTAACCTCACATCCAGAAGTAATCATTCCATCATTTTTATCAGTTTCTCCTTTGTTATTATTAACTACTTCATCATCAGTAACTACAATGATTAAACCACAATCATTCACATTTAAATCATTAACACTGTAATTACAACAATTGAAAATAACTTATTCATCACTTATTCAAACAACATCATTGATTTCATTATAAATAATAACAAAATCTTCATGAACAATAACCATTTGAGATTTTTGTTGAAGAGTTTCACAAATAATTAGTGGTTTATTACTAATTCAGAAATTGGAACAATACATCGTTGTTTTGTTGAATCATTTATATCACTTGATAATACACCATGTTTTTATTTGTTCAATTCAACATCAATGATTGTATCTGGAGAAGAACACATTCTTTTACTTTCATTTGTTTTAGATGATATTCTTTAATGTCTTTCTTTTTATTTGAAGATATTTGAATGATTCATTTTGTTGATCATTTGAGATAGTCTTTTCATAGAATTGACATAATCGTCAGACATAATCAGATAATTGTTCAAACAAGATGAAATAATATCATCAATTGTTTTTGGTAATGTAGAAAGTGTCTTTTCATTTGTATTTAATCATTCTAAAATACTTTCATCTTAGATTCATGAATAATGTTATTACTATCACCACATTGTTGTTGTGTTGATTCAGTGTATTCAATGGAATAATTGAAAAGATAGATGTAATTGATAATGAAGTATTTGATAAGTTAAAAAAGAATGAAATCAAATAACAAAAAATGAATAAATTGTGTTATTCAAAAACAATAAACGTGACAACACGTATTCACATTGTAAAAATACATCACTATTCAATATCTATTTACTTAAATACTACCCATCAACTGAAATGAAGTATTCATGACTGACTCACACGACAACCAACAAGACAGAAAAATATGGAAAGAACCAACAAGGAAAACAGTTGAAATTGAAAACATGAATGATGGATAAATTTCTGTCATTCATAAGGGTTTAAAGGAGAAGATAATAAATGGAAAGTATCAAAAGAAGATATTGAAATGTTAAAAATGGGAATTGAATCTATTGAGAGTGATGGTAAATTAATGTACAAAATCATAGAGAAGAGTGATAAATATTTAACTCAGAAATCTAAAAGTGAAAAAACAGAAATAAAATCAGAAGAACTCAAAGAAGAAATAAATAATCATGAAGAGTTAATAGAAAATATTGACAAAGGGAAAGATTTCATTAAAATGAATGGAAATATGAAATAGGTAAAGTTCATTTAGAAATAACAAATGAAGATATTATTTTTATTGTTTGGAGGATTTTACAATCTATTGTTCAAAACAACCTATTGGACAACATGGTATTTATCAAAATGATGTAATTATGAAAGTATTAAAAAATCAAATAACAACACTTGTAGATTCTAAAGTGATAATTAAAATTATTTGTTTCATTTGTTCTTTCATTACAGAAAAAGAAGAAATTCAAGAAATTGTATCTTCAAGTCATTTAAAGAAAAATATAAATAGATATTAACAAATGGTGATGAGAGAATTATTGAATGAATGAATTATACATTAAATAAATTTAAACACAAACAATTTAATAATCAAATCATGTTTATTGAATATAATTTAATTAAACAATAAGTAAAAAGAATAATAAAGTAATTTAAAGTGAAACAATGAAAGAATGGAGTTAATTATCAAAGAAATTATATTTTTTGATTAACTTATTAAATGAATATTTTATTAATCATTATGAAACATTACAAATCAAGTTAATATTTAAATGAAATAGAATATAAAATGTTTATAAAGAATAAAATGATTTAATAAATGTTTAAAAATGAACAACACTAATATTCTAATGAAATATTAAATTCAAAAGAAGAATGAATAAAATAAAAATGATATCTAGATTATTATTTAAGATATTAAAGATACAAATAAATAAATGAATAGAGTTATTTCATTTTGATGATAATACGATAATCATTTTATTTAATTGATGAAATATTTTTGTTTATATTGTATTTAAATCAAAATAACAAATAAAGTTGTTATTTATTTAATTATTTTTGTATTACAACACTTGTTTATTTACAATACTTGTTGTAGATATCTTCAAATATTTATTACATATCTTATTAACAAAATAATAATCTATGAATAAATTAATAAAAGTAAATTAATGAAAAATAAAGTGTATATTATCATATATTACTTAGAATCTAATTTGATATTAACTACTTTCTAACTCTGATATATTTGTTTTATTTCATCAATTTGTGGTATTTCAGTATAATCAATTAAGAATATAATACATTTGATTTGTTCTAAACAAATTTAATTTAAACACCAAGATTTTCTTTTCTATTACAAAAGATGTATAATTGAGTTTAATTTTCAATGAAGTAAAATGTTTTTAAATGATGAGACATTAGAATAAAAGAAAAAGAATAACTAAGAAACTAAATGATATTATCAATGAATAGTTTTATTCAAATATATTTCATTGAATATTTAGTTTTTATACACAATAATTTGATAAATA